TATAGTGAACCCGTAGTCGTAGACCAATTGTTGGCCGTTTTGTTATCTTATAATTAATTAGTTTTTTGTTTGGTATATATTAGGAGACATCAGATGTGCTCAACAGATGTCTGGCGATAATTAGCGGTCAGCCGTCGGCCACCGCCGCACCCGATATTGAAGCCAAACGCGTGGAATACATGGCCAGAGCCCACACACTGTTGGACGGACTCACGAGTTGGTGTCTCTCTAGTGGCCCATATGTTGGACCAAAATTTGATTTGCAATTAATTGTCTCTTTTTATGGACAGAAAAGGAGACAAAACCGGCGAACGAAGTGTCGGACAGTGAGGAGAGGTCACAGCTATTACGGGCCGAGTGTCTGATGCGGGAGGCGTTAGACGAGGACCGGGAGGACAACCGCGAGGAAGCGCTCGAACTCTACACACAAGCGATAACGCTCTGCATTGAAGCCGTGAGTGTTGTTTATGTCAGAAATTAATTTATAATTTGATTGATTTTTAATTTAGATAATTAATTAATACAAAATATTAATTGTAAAAACGTGTTAATAATAATAACTATAACAATAATATTTAATAATTGTTATGAGAGGAGTGTTTGTGTGAAAAGTGTTTATAGACTGTAATAGAGTAATGCTGTCGACTGGATGGGTATATAAGGTGAATAAGCTATATTTCACGAGGGTATATATCTATCAATTGCTTGATTATTTCTCTAAATCTTAATTTAATATCGTTTCAAATCATGTATTCATTTGAATATTTTTTAACCAAATAGATCTTAGGTGATTAATTTTATTCAGCTTTTAATTATTAATAATTATACTACAATATATTTGTAGGTATAGATAAAATGTAAATATTTTATGTTTTAATCAAATTATGATTCACCTAAGATCTTTTTGGTTAAAAAATATTCATTTATAATTATCATTATTTTTATATAATTAACATTTTTAGCTTTTTTGCTGATTTTTAAATGCTTTTTACTTTATTTTATTTGATGTAAATTAGTTTTATTTCATTATAAAACATTGTATTTATTGCTTATTTTAATCGATTACTATATGTGCTTAAAATTTACTCAAAATTGCTATTAAAATTATTGTTTTAATTACTAAATTACTAATACATTACGATTACTAAATCGTGAATAACATAAGATCTCAATTATTATTACTTTTTATAAAGTGTTTGTATTTTTTTTATAAAAAAATGTTTAATAAATCTAATCTTTTTGTAAAACCAAATGATGACAATTTTTATTGATTAAACTAATCCTTAATTCATTTGCAATTAATTTAAAGTAAAAAAAACTGCTTTAAATTGAACACTAATTTATGTGTATTGTCAACAATAAGCTTACAATTGATGAATGCATTCAAATCTCATGCATTTTTAAAGCATATATTGTTTCATAAATTCTGTATTCATTTCACATAAGAATTACAGTTGAATTCAAGCAAACTTTTAACGAACCGTTTAATTGACAATTAATTATCTTTAAACTGTTTTTCTTGAAATAAGTTTATCTTTGATTCAAAGAATGGTATTTTGTTTGAGATTAAGATTCGCACATTTGCTTCATCTTCTTCTAGTGTTTGTCATCGCAATCGATGGCATCAGATGTGAAGAAAGGGTTAAAAGAGACCATAAAATTAGTGACAAAATCGGCGACCAATTGACGGGAGATTCAGACTTTGAGGAGTTTGTCCAACGGCTCGAAGACACGAATGACCAGTCGTTACTGAAGTCGGCCGAAGACACGACCGGAAAGCTGGACAAAGAACTGTTCGGTGATGTGGCCGGAGATGTG